CGATTGATTATGAGCAATAAATTGTGCTCGAAACGTCATCAGTAAATATTACTGTATAACACTGTGAGACTCTATCAAAATAAAATTTACCCATAATGGAATTACACTCTACCACAGTGCCCAAGTTTTATTCTTATATCAACACCTGAAGCAAGATTTCCTCCGAACCCAGGTCGTTTTGTGTATAATTTTTTGGATGTAGTCCTTAGTGAAGTGGACCTTCAGGTTTATCGCATGGCCCTAAATTTTGGGATAGCCATGTTAAAATTAATCAAATGGATGCATAAATTCAGTTTGAAAGTCTCTACACTCAAACGGAAGGCCTAACACCCTCATCAACTGAAGATGTTGAAAGACTTAAATCAACTCTGGTAGATTGTTGCTATTATTAGATGAATAATAAACGCAATTCGGATGGTATTTTGACCAAAAACATAGAGAAGCTCTAGATATTCTCCCTAAAAATGATAACATAATAATAACAAGACCTAATAAGGGCTCAGGAGTGGTTATCATGAACAAAGAGGATTACTTCGAGAAGATGAATACGATTCTTAATGATAATGCAATTGAAAAGATAGAGAAACAGTTAGCGTAAGCATTGAGAAGACTGAAACAACAAGACTCTATCTCACAAAGTCAGTATACATCACTTAAACCCACTGGGACGTTCACACCAAGATTATATGGCTTGCCTAAAGTGCTCAAAAATGGTGTACCACTTCGACCAATGAACTATAATTGTTGAAATAGTTCTAACTTGCAGAATATCAATTTTAAAAGTTTAGCTTTATACTTGTCTAAGCTGTTAAACACCAAGGGCAACCACTAAATGATAAGCAATCATCATATGAAGAGATGTAAGATGTCAAATGTGAACAAATTATGTTTAAGTGCTTTCGTTTCATCACTTGTCCACATCGGGTGCCTTATTTCTGTGTGATTAATACTATCAGCTTTGTAGCGCCGAAACATTAGAGAACTTGGTAACAATGTAAAGATATAGACAAAATACGCAATTTGCACATGTCTTCAGCATTGAACTTCTTTGTCTTCCTCTCGTGTTTCCTATGTTGTTTCACAATAAATCGTTCATTTCCTTTCATCTTCATTAAATCCATCTCTCCGCTTTTCGAAATTCTTCAAGATGGTTTACAGATTTTCATCTGTATCTATATACTACTTATAAATACTGTCAGTAGCATTCACTACCACCTTAGTTGATTGATTTTAAAAATGTGATCGTTTACAGGTTGATCACAACTTAAACCTGTTTTTTTCATGTATGTGATTCTGACTAGTCTTTCACTGGGTCAGACTTATCATTATGAATAAATAACTACAAATGATACTTGTTTGATAAAAAGTGACTTTCATGGGTTAGTAGCCTAGACATCAGTGTGCATTGGTTTTCAGAGCTGATGGTTGCCAGGCACGGTGTTAATGCCTTTACCTTTCGGGACATAAGTAAAGCTAAATAAAGATATACATGAATAGAAAAGAAACACCTTGGTTTTCCCTATCTGTTGTCAAAATCAAACTTGCTTTTATCGGTGTGTATACAAATAACAATGAAACTTCGGGTTTCTAATACTTCTGTGGTGAGAGCTGTCTGCAAGCCGAAATTGTAGACAACAATTTACGTCACTGTTACGTCCCAAATTGTGGTCATGAGAGAAAACAAGAACAAAGCTTAACGTTGAGTAACTCACCAACCAATCACAACTGACTTAAAATGTGCAAATACGATTTGCAGATTTTTGGCTTAACTTTCTGAGAAACGGTCACAAGCAGTACAGAATAGCCTTCAACAAGAAAACAACCAATCAGAAGACATTGCTTCTCCACTAACAATAACGCTAATAGTAATGCACGTAAAAATCTATTAATATCTGTTGATTTTCTCAATAAACGATTTGTTGCCTGGCCCGTGTCTTCTGCCGTTACATTTGGTGTCGCTGCCTGCCGACAGATGGAAAGCCTATGCTCTGAAGTGTTTGATTGAGACATATGGACCTTCGGCCAAGACTTCAAGGCTGTTACTTGAAACAGTGCTGGGAGGTCGGGCAAAGGCAGCATATGAAAGTCTAAGGCGAAACACCGACGAATGCCTCCAGGGTCATGTAAACAGCTTCCAAAGTGAGAAGAACCACACAAAGTCACTGTGAGACGGGGTCACGTATATACTATCAGAACTGAAAACAAAGAGGAGAGGGTGAACGTCAGCGAGCTCCGGAATTCCAGAACAGCAAGACAAGCTAACAAAGCTGCCAGCACCAAGAAGATCTAACCGACTTCAGCCAAAAGTTTTTGACGGGGGAACGAGTGTGGTGATGTGATACAGACAATGTGTTCCAGTGGAATGTTATTCTCACAGTTCAATACTCAATAGGTACCAGAATACTACGTATCTGAACATTCTATTTCACGCCGTTTAATGTAAACCGAAATGGCACGCTCAGTGTTTGGTTAAAGGATATAAACTGTATATATATAAACTTATATATATATATAAACAGTGGTTTGATTAATGAAAAATATACCTTGGCTTCCGTGTCTTGCCTTCTGATATTACACTACTACTATTACTATTACTAACCTTTGGAAAATGTTTTCAGTAATGCAGACTGCCATAATACATTTTGCTGCTGTAGCTGTTGAAGCATCATAAATTTCATGAAGTTATCCATATCACTTTTTGGATCTAAAGAACAGAATATATTCCAGCAAAGTAGGAAAAAAGTGTTGTAGCAATATTATTTATGAATGGAAATAATTTGCTGTGTGCTACTGTCGCGCAGTATTTAACACGGTTCACATGGAATCGCGTAAAACTGACAGGTAGACATCTCTTCATTGGACTAAGATATTTGTGATTCAGAGAACTGATCTTATTGTTGTAGCGTCATTATGATTCATTTTGAAAGGATGCACATTAGTCCCAATCCTGTTTAATTTTTGTACTAGCATTCATCAAAAATGATTGAGAAGATATGTAGGTCAGGTAGATGTTACTGATGCGGTTGTGTTCTGCCAGCTGGATGGCTTAACCAAAGCCATCTTTGAAGATATTGTCTAAGAAGACAATGAAAGCTTTGCATTAAATCAACCATCTCAGAGAACACAACTAAATCAAAATCATCCACATGAGCTACAAATCTTCGCCATTATTTTGAAAGCTTGACAATAAAGACATAGTGCTGAGACAGCACAAATACGACTTAAATAACTAACCTCTTAAACTAAAGATTTATAGTTCTTGAACAGTATTATTTGTTAAGCAGTCTACTGTACACAATTGTAGTTTATGTAATATGTGCAGTAGTAGTGATAGGTTTAGTCACGAGCTCACATCAGTCAGCGAACCAGCGGGAAACCAGAAAGTACTGGTCAGCTACCTCTTCCTACTTTGGGACTCTTCATCAGCATGAACCCACCGGGGTTCAAACCCAAGACTTTCTGGCAACAGGGTGCGTTCGCAGACCATTCAGCCACCGGGACCCGATTCATTGGCTCGTGAATTCCAATTTCTGCTCACCAGTGACTGGCTGTATACAGAAAGTTACCTGGAGTTCCAGTGAGAAGTCGTAACAAGCGGGAACAACTGAGTTCGGTAAGAGAACAGTTACTAGCTTATGACACCAGCTGGTGGATACGCTACATGTCGCAAATTGGCGGAAGTTAGATCTCCAGGCTGCTGAATTGGGGCTCAGTTTCTGAATGGTCTACGAGCACCCCTTGTTCTGGACGCAAGCCGCAGTAAATGAGTACTCCTAAGGGATCCCGAACTAGGACGAAACAACTGCTTTATGTGTACGCTCAAGGATTGATTGTTTTTCTACTGGTTTATTTTTCTAATTTCATGGTTTAAATCAGATTCTTGACCTGTTTCAGTTCTTTTCAAATTATACCCATTTTTATTTTGTTTTCGGCCATTCGTATTTGCAGTCACTATTGTTTGTGTACATCCATACCATCTAAAAACTTCTTAGAAAAACTATTTTGAGAA